CCCCCCTGGGCCCCTCCTGCCGCCGCTGCCCCTGCCTGGGACCCCGCGCCCAACTGGTGCGACGGCTCTTCTGCTGCCCACACTCCCTCCGATGGGAGCGGCGGCCAGCGTCCCGGCTCGTGCCCGGGCCCGGTGCCCTGCAGGCCTCCTCACCAGGGCTGCGGTAGGGGCTGAGGGAACAGCGCCGCTCCCTGCCCTGGCGGCCCTGCCCGCTCGGACCGCTGTGGCCCTCCTGGCCACTCGCCCTTCCCCAGCCGCGCGGCACCTGAGTCGCCCCAGGGCGGGGAGCAGAACTCGGGCGGCTCTGGTGTCCCCGGTGCTGAAGGCCACCGTGGCCGGCACGAGGCCGCCCGCCCTGACTCACGGCGCTGACGGGCGTCACCAGGAAGCGGCTCGCACACGCGAAGGGTCACTGCCGGCAGCCCGTGTCCTCGGCTACTGACCAGCACGGGGCAGGCGTAGGAGGACGGAGGCCAGACGAGGATGTTCTCCTTGGAGGCAGGTTTCTGCATGAGGCGCTGGTCAGAGGAACCGGGGGGCCCGCCTGTGACGGGGCACCTCAGCGTGAGCTGGGCCGCCTGCGGTGGGGCCTCACCTGCGCGCTTAAAGTTCAGCTGTGCTGCAGGCGCTCACGAAGGGGTCAACATGGGTTAATATACAGAAGGAGGAAAGAACCGGAAACAACCCAGGCGGAGAGAGCGGGCGCGGGCACCTGGAGCACCTTGCCGGCTCGCCGCCTCGGACCTCTGGCCACAGACTGACCGAGAGCCCCGAGTCTCGCGGCCCGAGCGAGAGCCGTTGCCCGAGCGAGCGAGAGACGCCGTGGCCCCTCTCCGCCCCCAAAGTCCCAGAACGCCGCTCAGCTCCCCCCGGGGCCCCCCGCTCTCCCTGGTGCCGCTGGGGTTTGCGGTTTCCAGTCCCAGGGGCCGCGGCCGAGCCCAGAGAGCGGAGCAGGCGGGGCCCCGACGCAGAGCTGCTTCAGGACAGCCTCCCCCAGCAGCCCGGCGCAC